GGGGGGGTGGAGGCGGGGAGGACTGTGGGCAAGGACCAGGGGAGGTCCAAAGGTCAGGGGCTACGAGGTCGGGAATTCTGGTCCCAAAATGGTGTCCAGGGGGTGGAACACCTGTCAAGGGGTGGGGCTACCCTTGTGGCCCTTGACAGCTTGCCAAAACTCAGTAAGTGGCCCTCCACCTGAAATTACTAACCACCCCTGAGCTAATTAGTCAACTCCACAGTAAAGCACATGTGTAGATGCCCCCAGTTTTTCCTACACTAGATCCAATTTCACATCCATAGCTACTGATAGAAAATCTCATTGTATTATGTTGGTTTCTAAATACACTACATCATATATATATATATGATTGGTACACACCCATACACACACACACAGTTATACACATATACCTATAATGTATGTTCCTCTTTGACAGGATATTCTTGATTTTCATCTATTGTTCCTAGTTGCTAGAGTTCACCTAATAAGAAAAGCATTGCCAACATCTTTTCCTAAGCTGTTTGTTGTAAAGTAGGCATTACTGATGAGCAGGGATCCTAGTTTTCTGTGGGGAAAACAGCGAAAGACCTCTGTTTAGAAAACACAAAAATCTGTATTTTTCCATGACCTATGGAAAGTGCGGTGGTGTCCCGCAGCAAGTGGCACCATTTCTGCTCTCTTTCTTTTTTCCTGCAGTTTTTACCTCTCAGTCAATCGGCACTGTTCCCCACCCTCCTTCACCTAACCCTACTGCTGATTGGCCAAGAGGCAAACCATGGGAAAAATAGAACAGAAATGGCACCACTCACCATGGGACACTGTTGTGCTTTCTGTAGGTCATGGGAAAATGTGGATTCCACAGTTTTTTCTGTGGCAAAGAGAAAATTAGGGTCCCTGCTGCTGAGTGATTACAAGAACTGGACTGATAAGAAGTTAATACAAGCTTGTCTTGACTTCAGCAAGAACCAAGAGCTTTTCAATACTGCAGAAGAGTTTAAATGCGGGGGAGGGAGGGGCAGGAAGTCTCTTGCTGCAAGTGAGGCCTATTTTCTTCAAATAATCTCCTGGGAAACAGCTTCCACCTAGCTAGGATCTGATTACCCGTTGCAGGCCTCAGACCATAGCCATTACTGTTTTAACATCCTTGCCTTCTCCTTTATCCCAGCATGAGCCAGGCTGTATGGGATGTTGTCTAACTTGATCTTGCTTGGAGATAAAAAGACAGTTTAGCACTCAACAATCATAAAGACAGAGGCAGAAAGATGGTATTTAGAAAACAAAGAAAAGAGCCCATGATGTATGATCATGTGTAATATTGTGCACTGTGCTATGTGGGTGGCCAGCTTGAGCAGGATTCCCTTCTGTGGAACCTGAACAGAAGTTTAATTTTGCCATATTCTGTTTATTTTGAATAGTGTCATTGTATTGAACTTGTATTTAGCAGTGTGAAGTGATATGGCCACAAATATGTTCCAATACCATGTCAGAGATTTTAAAAAAAGGATATGTATGTAATGGATGACAGCCTTTTGAAAGAACTATCAATAGTGAATTTAAATCAGGATAAGCGAAAAACTAATCCCAACATTTACTTTAGACTTTCACTGTCTCAGTGGAAACTATTCTCTCAGTTTGAGAAACAAAAGCCTCCATGGTTAAGTAAAAGAAGAGTCTCTCAGTTATGATGAATTGTCATTAGAAGGAAGTAGTTTACAAGAGCAAGCAAGAAGCAGACATCAAACTGAGACTGTACTACCAATTTTAGGTAGAAGTAAGAGAAGATTTTGCTAAGAGGAGACACTGAAGGTTTGTGTTCAGTGGAAAGTTAGTGCAGTGTAACCCAAGATATGAGTTTACATCCAGGAGTTACTTCACACTAACTCCACATGTAAAAATGTTTTGTCCACACTTCCAATGCATATTGGACCTCAGTATGCAAAGGTCCTCTCGCACCAGTGTATCTACATTGAACTAGCTCCCTCATTGAAACCAGCTTATAGCACCAGAAACCAATGCAATGCAAATTAGGTGCCCAACTACCTTTGGGGATCTAGGTTCAAATGATATAGCAACAATCAGAAAAGATATGACCACTGAACAAAAAAGCAAACACCTAAGTACATAACACCTGTTCATAAAGAGAAATGAATATTTTGCACTGGCTAGCAAGAACTCAGATGACAAATAGGACAACAGAAAGAGCAATACAGCAACACCAAGAGCAGTGAATCCTTAATAGGATTCACAAAGTTCCTGCCAAAGAGTAGTACAGAGTTGATGCAAGGTCATGAAATCCCATGTAATTTATAGCAAAAGCTAATCAGAGATATATGTGTTTTTCTCAAAGAAAAATTATTATTATGAATTTGTTTATTCTTTGAAGCCCTGGAGATGTCAGGCTAACAGGGAAACACAGCAGAATTTTCCAAAACAAGTCACAAGGTGCATAGCCTGCTATATTAGTGGTTCTGATCGTTGGGTGGGTGACCTAGGCTCAAATAGTTATTCACCTCATTTCCCTCATCCTTTATCTTAATTGGACTATAAGGGCACCTTACGGTTGAACGAACTTTAGTTCAAGTGCCCCTGCTGCCATTTTGAAGCACAGGACACTAAATATATGAGACACTGTGGGACCTTTAATTAAAGCGGCTCCCGAGAGCTGCTCTAATTAAAGCACCTCTCCCCCCAACCCCCCACCCCCAAGCATGTGTAAAGATGCCCTAAGAGTATAAATTCTTCAGGACAGGAGTTATCCTCTAAAGCACCTGTAGCATAACTGTAGGGTGTGAGGGGCAAAAGTGGCACCAGTCCTGGGTGCTGTTTTAGAGGGGAGAGCAGAAGGGCAACCCCTGAGATGTCTGTGCCACAGCAGTAAGCCCATGTGAGGAGAGCCCACACTGCAGTTGGAACAGCAGTGGCAGCAGCCCAAATGCAACAAGGTAGGAGTCTCCAGTGCTCAGTATCCTTTTTCCCAACCAATGGTGCCAAAATTCCTAGTTACACCTCTGGGGCACATAACGGTGTCACTCCAATCTCAGCTGGAACTTTTAAGAGCCACTAAATACAAGTAGTAGTAGTGAAAGGAAACCTCCTGAATTGGCCATACTTTCACTGGACTCTCCTAACTCATCCCAGCCCTTATTTAGCATGCCTTTTAAAAATTAAACATTAAGGCCTCTTTTCTGATGAAAAAATTAGCACAGGTTGTATGTTTCTAATTATTGCCTGGGCATGAAACTGGTATTCAGTGGGACCGTCTACATGTGCTGTTAATGCTCTGAAATCTTACTGCACAGTAAAATACTGCGTAGTAAGCTTTCCCTGGGAGCACATCTACACATGCCCCTGTTGGGAGCAAATTTGTTTCTGATGGGAGCACTTCAGTGCAGGGCTACTCCTGCCCTGCTCTGCTCCCCTACAGCAGCCAGAGGGAGCTCTAGGCTCTCCTGGGCACTAGGCCCCAGCTGACAGGGGCCACTGAGGTCAGGCCTGGCCACCAGGGCGGTGGAGGAGGTGTCCCACCTCCCAGGCAGCTGCCTCCCAGCCTGGCACCCCTGCTCCAGGCAGCTGCTTGCTGCCAGACTCCCACTCCAAGATCTCGGGTCCCAGCCCCCACTCCAATCAGCCAATCAGAGCAGCGGCTGGGAAGCAGGCAGCTCCCTCGGGGGAGGGAATTGTTCTCCCAACCCTGCTGCCCGGGCTGACCGGGAGCAATTTGCTTCTGGTCAGCTATCTGCATGTGCACTACTGTGCAGTAGCTACTGTGCAATAAATCTACCTGTATTTACAGGTAGTAGCCAACCATGCAGTAGACTAATTTACTGTGCAGTAAATGCTGCACACATGCAGGCAACGGTGCTTTACTGTGTATCAAATTAGTCTATTGCACAGTAAAGCATCTCGTGTAGATGTGCCCAGTATACCACACTCAAAAGCAAGTCAGGTGGTGGTCAAGCCATGGTCTTCTGAAATACCTGTGTCTATTCCATTTTTCAATTATCTCTAATATAGGTCATTTTAGTGTTTTCTTGGTTATTTGTGACAGTAATCTAAGTTGAATTCTCCTAGAGCCCCTCTAGATGTTGAATAAAGGCATGATAGAATCTGAAGTGCGATCCATACAATCATACCTCCTGCCATGCCAAATGTGCATGGCAGGAGGTGTGATTACGGGGTCCAGCATCAGATCTAATCACAAACTATCACCATCCTGGGCTCCCCCTGCACCAGCAAATAACAAGCTCCTGCTGTTGTGAGTCTCCCACCCGACAGGGCTCCCAGCCATAGGACCATACATTGCTACACGTGCAAATTAAAGCTGGATAGAAACCAGCTATAAAATTATTATACATTTCCCAGTTCTAACTTTATATCTGGATGGACCTTTTTATGGCATGATAGTTAAGTTGCACATGTAGCTGATCTAAATTGGTTAACTGCATAATAACCAGTTAATTCCATAATACATGTAATGTGTGGAGGGGATCCTATTTTCACATATTCCCACTAGATCAAAACAAAAATCAGATGTTTTGTCTGAGAAGTGCAGGCGGGATGCAGTCAGGCTACAGATTCTGGGATTCCTAGTGTACTACCCAGTGAAAAAGAAAGCCAGTTCAAGAACTAAGCTACTTACACTCTGGGCATGTAGCCAGACAGAGGTGGGTTCAGTCTTCACATACATTGCTGATTTGCCTGCAGCCACCTCCAAAACATGAAAGCTTTTTAACAAGATGAAGAATTAGCTTGCATGACTGTCTTTTAAAAACATCTTACTCTTCTCAACTCTAATTACAGCTCTGTATCAATTCTGTGAATTTATGAATGACTTACAAAACACCCAGAAGGGGAAACAAGCCCGGATGATGTGCAATGAGAGGGCGCTGACATAGAAGGAAGAATTCTGTTTTGACTTTCCATTAAAAGAACAAACTGGATATTTGCTCATCTCATTTCCATTGTTTTCCCCCCTCTCTGCTTCTCCCTCCAGACTCTGACTGCACCTGCTCCGTTTGCAGATGAAACAAGCTGTCAGTGCCAAGCTCCACATGAGAAGCTAACCATCGCTCAAGCTCGCCTGGGAACGCCAGGTCAGTCTTGATTAATAAGCTATCTTTGCTGAGATCCACTTGAACAGGACCCAAGGGCAGACAGCTTTCCATTATAAAAGGATTTCCCTCTTTTCTTGCAACCTTCGCTTGGAAAAAAAAGGAAAGATTGTGCCTGATTGTGGATGAGGGAAACATAACAAGAAAAGATATTCACCTTTTGTTAGTGAAACACATGGGGAAAAACACATTCAGGTGAATGTTTTAAGCATCTGTTCATGGTCAGGTTACTTTTTAAATGAATGCTGTTGGGTCATGATAGTCAGACATTGGCAACATCAACACCCAGATCTTACTTGCATGATGCAATCGTATTTGGTTAATAGTAAAATGTATGGGTTTTGTTACACTTTTAAGTTATACTTCATAGCCTCTGCCTCACAGTTCTAGAGCATCACTCGTTACAATACTTTAGCTCATAAACCTATCTGTGCACTCTTGTCAGAGAACATATATGAAGCATGGTTAGCATGTAGTTAGTCCCTTTTTATGTTATTTAAATTCAGGGCTTGATGTACAGCCAATCTTTAGCATCCCACAAAGTTAGTGTGATGTTTGGTGCCTAGTCCCATTTCCAGATGCTGTGGAACACTGACTGGCAATAATAAGAGACCCTAAAGAGTCAAGCTGACTTCTCCTTTATTGAAACCCTTGCCTGTTTAAAGGACACATTGATCCAATATTTCTTGTATTCTGTCTAAAACATACATACAGGTTTTGACCATGTTGCCTATTGCCCTTTCTGTAGAAGTGATTTCCATCACTGATTAGTGGTAGTCCAGCCATGCAGCCAGAGGGCTTCAGCAGTGCTCCAGAGCTGGAGGGCTTTGCTCATGCCACTGCTGGGCTGTGAGGAGAATTGGCAGTAGTAGCAGTAGCCAGATCATAGTGCCAGCCCACCTCAGACTTGTGGTAGGTCATTCTGGCTGGCTGCCAGGAAATATCACCTACTGCTGCCCTAGATCTTGGGTCTTGTAGGTAGTTGGGAGGGTCCCAATGGAATGGCTTTACCGGAAGCCCCACATATGCTTAAAACAGCATATTTTACAAGAGGCAAGCAAGGGAATATTTGTATTGATTTATTTCTTGTTAATTTGAGCAGCTAACTGTTATTCCCCATGTCAGGGGAGTTTTCTTAGCTCTCCCATCAGTTTCATATGAAACAGAGTTTTCTCTGCATTTCGCTTGAGGCGCAGGATGTGTCGCACCCTACAGCAGACACTTCTTTATGCAGCACAGCAGTGAGCCTCTGTGAAGCTCAGGGACCACGGCATTCATCTCGTAGATGTGCAGGGAATGTGAATTCCTATATTAGCATAGCTGCTGGGCATGCCACTCTGCAAGGCTCTTCCTGTTTTGGCTTGCAGGCCACCACTAAGACACGAGTGGTGCACAAGAAGAGAGGGATATGGGGAAAGGAGCAGGAGAAGTCAGAAAGAATGGGACTGACAGGAAGGTGACAGAGAAGATCATGAGAGGAGTGAAGAAAAAGGGAAAAGGAAAGGGATAAACAGAAGTAACCAACAGATACATACAGCAATAAGTTGTAGAAGAAAGAAGGAAGATGTAAGGGCACAAAGATAGAAACTTAAAAAATCCAAAAATGAAGAAGTGAGGGATATAGAAATAGAAGGGAAAAAAAGCAAGATATATGGCAGGACTGGAAGCAAGATAGGAAGATGACATTTTCTCCAAATGTGAATGCAGTAATAATGGAGGAGAGTAATACAGAGGACACATATAAGAAAAAACTAGAAAAGAGGATACCGAAATAAGTAATAACCAGAAAATATAATGCTGTAATTTCACAAACTATAATATTTCATACCAGGGGAATATATTCTCATCTGAGGTCCCAAAACAAATCAGGAGGTCTTAGGTATGACTCATATTTAAGCTGGAAGTCATTTTTGTGCTTGTTTCCCCACAGTTGACAGACCTGTCAGAGTGTATGCAGATGGAATATTTGACCTCTTCCACTCCGGCCACGCTAGAGCTCTTATGCAAGCCAAAACTCTATTCCCAAATAGCTACTTATTAGTAGGAGGTAAGATTCAGACCTATTTACCAAACAGAGTTTTTGCCTCTGTTTTCTAGAGCAGAGGCAGAGCTGTTTCTATGCCTTCACCCCCAACTGTTTATACACTGTGACTCCAAGCACTACTTTCTCTCTCCACAGTGTTCCATATACTGTTTTTCTTGAGCGTATCTTAAAATTGCATCAATTAAAGTTAAAAGTCACATTCTTTCCTTAGCAGCATGTGTGTTATTCACATTCTATTTAAAGGGAAAGGCCAGAATGGCTCTAAAGGCAGAATGTCTCTGAATGAGTATTTACTTTCTTTATTTATTGTGTCAATGTTGTAAAAGAAGTAGGGCTGAGGGAAGTCCACGTTCATAATAGAATTAATGATGTTAGCATTTTTTGCAGTTCACAAATATCTGGGAGCAGATTGTGATTTCTTTCAGATTTCATTTAAATTTATTTAGTGAACTTTGTAGAGTTTTTTCCCATGTGTAAAGTGATAGAGATATTCAAAAAGCGTTATATGTCAAAGAAGGCATGTGGTAATGCTTCTGTCTCTTTATTGGCAATTGTGCAAGGAATTTTGGTGAATATATTAGGTGTTCTTGAATAACAGTACCTGTGGCTTTGAAATTTACTTTTCACAAATATTTGACAGCAAAAGTCTCCTACTTGAACGTTCATGAATGTGGTTATGAAGGGGCTGTGAATATGATAGAAGTGAACATGCATTCAAATACATAATCAGAAACATAGCTTTATTATAATACCCGCTCTGCAAAACAACAAAACAAAACAACCCAGGAAAATTGGAATCTTGTCCTTATGTTCACTTTAGTGTTATACTTAAATGATTACAATTCAGCTGGAGCTTTCTGACGGTGCTTTTGTACAGAGGAATGGAGATCTGTTCTGTAAATGAAGGAAACACTTCACACATTGGTCTGCAGTGTTTTTCCAGTTGAGCATAAAGGAAAGATAAGTGGGACTGCCAGGGAAGGGATTTCAAAACTAGGAACTGCTCCTTTGAGACTTCTCTCTAAAACTAAGGGGACAGTTATGGGCAACATTCACGCCCCACTGAAGTTTATGACAAACGTCCTGGTGATTTCCTTGGGATATCTCCCCAGTAATGTGCTGTCTTGACAGGTGTGTAAAGCAGGAAATTCTAGACTCCCTTAAAAATGTTGTGTTGTAACAGAGCTGGGTGTTTTGTGCTTCCCTGTATCCATTCCCTCCTCCCCGCTCTCAACTTATTTCTTGTTTTGGTGACAATTATTTTTTAATTCTTAACGACAAACAAGTCAGTCAGAAAATATTACTTATGAATACCTAATAAATGAATGATCAGGACGAAAAGGGTAACCGGAAAGAGTGCCTTAGTAGCTAAAGAATTTGTACCATAAATAAAGCACTATTAAAAGGAAATATATTTGTTGACAATTAAAAAGTGCTGTCTGCTAATAATCAGTGACATTTACATGGCATGTTTCTTCCAGGAGAACCAGACTCTCATGTGATTTACAGACAGTAAATAAGTATAAATACAATCCCAGAGGGGTCTTTCTACTCGCCAATGAAAATGCATTGATCTGTGGAACATCTGTTGCCAACATATCCCAAAGCAATTATAGAGGAAAGGAAGCATCACCTGTCCATTTAGAAATACAATTATGTTGATAATTAGAATCTGGCTATGACTCTCAGAGTAACTAAGGCCTTCTATATTTGTAAAAGTTGCTTTAAAACCTTTTATGACCATAGTGGCAAACACTCTCTGTTTCATACCTTATTCAAACAATGACACCGTCAGTAGAATAGTGCCCAATAGGACCACACAGGAGCATCAGATCAGCTAACTCTCTAATTCAGTAAGTGTCCTGAATCACCAACACTCTTTACTGCTCCAGAATAGTATTCAGCATTTGTATACACTTTATACCTTCAAAAAGCTATACAAATGTTATTAATCTCCATAACACCTCTGTGATGTAGGCATTATTTCCTAGTAGCCTCCTTGCTGAGGAGGAGGGGGACGAAAGGGATGCCACGAATGAGGCACATGAAAGCCCTGGGTGCTGACTGAGACGGGGTGCAAGAATGGCAGATACCACTGCCACCTACAGTATAAAGCTTCCTAGTTATGCTTCTGATTCTTTCCCATCATTTTAAAGGCCACACAACAGTGGCACAATCAGGATTGAAATATAGGATTTCCAAAAATCCTAAACCGTATGTTCATTCCTTCAGAGTAAGCTGTTGCAGATAATCCTATACATGGGTTTTTCTGCAGAGATTTTCAGCTTCAGTTTTCATCAAGGCCAATACCACTTGCAATTAAACTTACTAAACTTGTAGCCCAAGATGCAATGACTGCCTTTGTTTCCTGTTTAGTTTGCAGTAGTTTTAAAGCAGCTTTCCAACAGGGATTTAGAGTTGAGCTGGCAAATTCAAAATCTGGCTGCCAAGTTAATGAAATTTATGAACATTTTATGATTGCAGGCACCACATTTTTCTGTTCACTTTAAAAGCATTACCCATTACTTCTAGAATGTTATGGAGCATTTCTCTCATTATGGTGCAGTACTTGCTTCTATTCCAAGGACAAGAATATGCACAGTATAACTCAATAAACAAGTTTAACCAGGAGAATTGAAAAAAAAACCTAGTAACTGTCAGATGTAATCATTTTGCAAAATCTGTGTAACAGTATTTTGTTGACTGTTTACCATTGTCAGTTTGCAGCGATGATTTAACCCACAAATTTAAAGGCTTCACTGTAATGAATGAAACAGAACGGTATGAGGCCCTCAGGCACTGTCGCTATGTAGATGAAGTCATCAGAGATGCTCCATGGACACTCACACCAGAGTTCTTGGAAAAACACAAGGTACTTTTCTTCCTTTCGCTTGCTAAAACTGCTAGAAAGAAAATGACACGACATTCAATTAACTGGAAAAAATTAATTCATTCAACTTCAGGCTCAGAAATCATAAGGCATCATCTGCCCATTACTATATCAGAAAACGTTCTGCTTATATATTTTAAACCTAAAAAATTGGTAAAAAGCTGGGGGTGGGGGGATAACTATTTAGTTATCTAATAAAAGATATCACATTTACCCCCCAAAATCTTGTCTGCCAATATAGACTTGCACTCCTAGAAAACCTTTGGTGTAATCTGGCTGATTTACAAAGGAGGAAAATCAAGTAGCATGGAGTCACTAAAAAACCATTTGCAACCACAAATTGCAGGTGAAGAATGGGAGAATGGACTAGTCTACTATGTAATAACTAGTGTTTTACTCCTGCTCCTATAAGATCAAGGGGTAATCTCCCATTGTTAACAGGTCTGTAATCGAGCAGATATACATACATGAGCCACTGCCATCTAATGCATAAAAATTTTGACTGTTCAAGTGTATGTGACTGTTTTTACATTTTACTGACTAATCTGTGGTGTATATAAATCCCATGCAACTACAGCTGACTGGAATTTACATTAGCTTAAGGGCAGTGGTCGTAAACATTTAACAGTTAAGTGCTAGATAGGCACACATTCACATGAAACACCAGGAAGATGGAACTAGAAACCTTCCTTTGTTTTAGAAGTCAGTTGTTTGCTACTAGTGTTAAAAAAAAAAATCTTCCTTAGGCGAGGTGGCTTCTCTGCGTGTAAAGAACAACATCACACACAAAAAGCTAGAGTGCTTAGAAGTCCAAAGGTCCTGTGTTCTGCATTAATTGTTAGCTATACCTGATTGTCTCTTCCCCTGTCACTTGCAGATTGATTTTGTAGCCCATGATGACATTCCATACTCCTCCGCTGGTTCGGATGATGTGTACAAGCACATAAAGGAGGCAGGTGAGGGCAATGTTACTTTTTAAATTCTGCTGTTTCAGCCTTTATTTTCAGAACCATCTAAGTATGCAACTGCCTTGTAACTGCAACTGCAGGAAAAAGAAAAAAATAAATGCACATTCCTTCATGACCTATGAGTAGGTAAGTGTTGCTGACTTCAACAGAAAGGTGTCTCTCTGAGACTGCAAGTGATGACCTTGGCTGTTAAAAAAATTGATTCCCATTGTAACAGTGAGGAAGCCATTCAGCTGATCGCAAAACATTTCCTGCCTGGGTTATTACAGTACTTTTTAGTGCTTCAATAGCAGCACTGGAATGCTGAAAAAGGAATCACTTCTCCATGTACTAATAGTAACAGATCCAGTATTCAGTCACCCTCTGATCCTGAGCTAAGAAACAGGTGTCTTGTGACCTCCAGCAAATCAACAAATGCTGGTGCAAAAGAAACAACAAAAAATAATTAAAAGGAGTGATGCAGAAACCCGCCTGGAACTTGGATAGAAGAGAAAAGATGTCAGGAGAGAAGAGTTAGAAGGGGATGCTAGGAAATCAGCCTGCATGCACAAGGCTAGGACACTGGCTGAAGAGGTAGCACCTGTTTAAATCATTCTCTTTATAGACAGCCAACTTATTTTTAAAATCATGGGTCCTCTAATGTTATCCTCCAGCAGTCAGTTTAATGAAAAACGCAGCAAGGAAGAGAGAGTGATTAACAGTCAAACAAACAGCACCTAAAAACAGAGCAAACAGGCAGCATTAAGGGACTCAACCCCTAAGAATGCCTGATTTTCAAACTTCCTTTCCCCTTCTTTCCCCCAGATAAGAAGAAATGAGTTTGTACAGAGAGCTGACCAGTAAAAATAATGATGAGAAAATGAAGGGAAAGCTTTGTTTACTGCCTTAGTTAGACATGGGGGCGGATATCAGATATGAGTGATCAGCCCTAAATACTACCAGTTAATAAGTGCTTGAGTATTGTGATTTCAGACAGAGTGTGACTGTAAAAAGATTCAGTTTACTATATATATAAAACCTTAAACCAGAAGGAGGAATCGATACAGAGCTGAGAATATGGAGAATATCTGTGTGCAACTTTGGAAACATAAAATATTGCTTAATTCAAGACAAGAGCATCATATGGGATTTGTAATTCCAGCTTAGTGGATGATCTCACTGAAGAAAAATGCTTCCAGATAGCAAAAGCAAATAAACTATCCAGGGAGAGGATCAATACCCACAAATATAGAACAAGTATGTAGGATCACGTTGAACTAACTCAGGAAAAATGACAGAGATAGAGCATCCAAGAATGCAAATATCCATGGTCCAGCAAGTATACTGTGAGAATGAAAATATACAGGAGAATTAAAATCCCCAACTTATAAAACAGAGATGTCAAACTCATCCCATACCTCAGTTTGGATTCGGACCATAGGGCTTCTTCATAGGCTGGATTTGCAAGGAAAGTGGCAGCTACAGTGGAGGCAGCAATGGTGGCAAAGGGACCACAAACTGTGGTGGCAGCAGCAGCAAAGGAAGCATCAACTGCAGCTGGGCCAGCAGCTACTTGCCAGGATGGAGGCAGCACAAGCAGTGGTGGTGACAGGTCACACAGTTGTGTTACTGGCATAGCCCTCTCTTGCCCTGTTGCCACTGGTGCCCATGTTTTGTGGGGTCCAGGGTTCCACAATAGCCCTCGATTTTGCTGGCCACACTCCTAAGTCACTTGGCCTGCCGATAGCCTAGCTGAGCAGATGGAGCAGCTCTGCGAGCCAGATTCAGTCCCTGATACCCTTGTTGTAGACAATGTGCAGGAAGTGCAACTTCATGTCCAAATGCTGCAGCTGCCCCAGGAAAGTAGTGACTGCCAAAGGGATTTCCAATGAAGAGGAGATTGTTTGCAGAATCTCTCCAAAGACTCTCAATATATGTACCCTTCCAGAAAAAGGCTGCTAGCTATTCTACTGCCATACTTGCAGTTTTGCTATTAGATGCAACATGTTCCCAGCAATAGCAATATCAGAGAAATAAGACATATAATAAAATAAATTGATGAAGATGTATAATAAAACCAATCTGAGGCCAAATTGTTATTGGATGATAAAAATAAACCCTGAAAAAAGAGGTGTTACTGCCTGGATTTTTTAGTAATTGATTTACATGAGTGTTGTAGGGCTGTTCATAAAGGCAGAACTAACCATCAATTTGATCATGGCAAAACGACAGATTATCCTCGGTGCAAGAGAGAAGAGAGAACAGTCTGGTAGTCTGAGAGACGGTAAGTTTTATTTAAAGAGAGGCATCCCTTAGCAGCAAGCTGAAGAAGCTCATGATCCCTACCTGCTTTGGTCATCTCGGCACCTGGTATTCTTTGCTACACAAGTTCCATGAGACTTGGTGGAACTAGTAAACGAGAAACTGGCAAGCCTGCAAGAAAAAACAGTGTCCATATTGCCATACAGCAACCTGTTCACATTAATAATATGGTGAAATAAACTTCATATAAAACTGATGAACACCTAGTGCACCACTATGGTACCTCAGAAAAAGGCTTAGAAACAGCACTGCTGAAAGGCCAGCAGACACTGATAGAGAACGTGCTCAGCTGCAGGCTGTGCTATTGGAATAAAACAATACCATCCGATCACCTTTGGTAAAAGACCTGTTCACTTTTGACAACAGGCACATTGTGGTCACTCCTGTTTCTGGGAGGTAGACTGTTTGAAGAACACCTAGACAAGAAATCTGATCCAGAAAGTGAAGGAAGTCTTTTTCAAGACTTGGTAAACCTTGACACACTGTTCTCAGAAAACAAGCCACTATGTACTGTTGCAGAATTCAGACTACTCAGAACCAAATGGGAATCTGAACACAAGATATCTTCCCTGGATGAGCACAAGATAACAGGAAAGCAGAGCCAGCAATGAAGACAGATAAGAGACTGATGGAAAAGACAAAACAGATGGGAAGGGAATGCTAATTGGCAATGTTAAACTATTGCAAGGTAGTTTTCCAAGAACTAGACCTTTTAAATTCAGGGCACCCCTCCATACATTTTTGGAATTCAGCAGCACCTCAGTTGAGAACCATTGTTGTGTTGCCTCAGCTTTCCTCAGTGGTTTTCAACTAGAGCTAGCATCACCATGACCACAGCCAAGTGCAACTGCCCCGTGCACCCTGTGTGCAGCCAGATAAGCCTAAAGCAGGCAGGAGCACCCACTTCTGCCACAGTCCTTCCCAGTCTGCACTCTTCCCTCCCTCCCCCCCCCTCAAAAAATGAGGTGCACAAGACAGCTCCATCTGCCCCAGATTCCTCTGTTTCCAGGATGAGCAAGAAGAGTTGGTCTGGGAAAGGCTGTGGCAGGACCAGGTGCTTCTGCTGGTTTTAGGGTTATCAGATAACCGTAAGGCAGTCATGGGCATGCACTCCTGCCACAGCCCTTCCCAAGCTGGCTGTGTATGAGGCACACGGGGCAGTTTCACCCAGCTGATGCTCTGGCAGCCCTGCACCATGGAACA